AGTGTCATGCCAATTGAGCTAGATGTTCCCCGAGACCATGGTCCCCAGAGCCCTCCGTCCAGCAACTCAGTCCCTCGGGGAGTTTGGATGTGTCCATGGGGCCTCCATGACCTGGGAAAGGCTATTTGGACTTTCATAATCAGGAGTTTGGATCAGAGAAGTGAAATCATCAGATCTGTCATTTAGAAAGATAACTCAGTGGAAGTGTGGGAGGTAGAATAAAGAGAAGGGTGGATACTGGAGACAGAGAGACCAGCAAGATGACCACTGCAGTAACAGAGGAGATGAAGGGAGATAAGAAAATTGAAAGCCAGTTTTAAAGAAAAAAGTTGAGAGAGGAAGAATTTGAAGATGCTCAAGATTTTGATTCTGAGTGACTAGAGGGATTGGAATGCCATGGACTGGGAAGGCCAGCACAGGAGGAACAGGTTGGGACAGGGGCAGGAACTGCTGGGTTCTGTTTTTGAAAAGTTAGGTATGAGTTTGTTTATAGCTTCTTTCCAATTGTCCCATTATCTGCAGTCCTTGAGAAGCTGAGTGTCCTGATGGATGCATCTGCTGGTTCTCTCATGGAGTCTCATTCCTCGCTTTCCATTGTGAGCTCATCTTCAGTAGTTGTTTTCCTATGTGACTGCTAGGTGCCCTGGTTGTGAAAGTGCTTCTACAAAGAGTGGTTTTGCGTTAGTTTCTACTAGGATTCCAGTTGTTTTAGACCAAATATTATGTTTCTCTGCTTGGGGCTCATGGATCTCATGGTAGTATAAATCTGGACCCTACACCCATTTATGACACAGGCCTTAGGGTTTCAATTTCTGACAGGTGATTTTTTTTCTTTGCCCCCATATCCCAAAAGAGACAGGTTAGCTTCCATTATGGATTAAAATGTGTTTCCCCAAAATATTTATTGGAGTCCTGACCCCTATGCCTATGGATGCAATCCTGTTTGGGAATAGGGTTTTCTTTGCTATGTTAATGAGGCCATCTCAGTGTAGGGTGTGTCCTAAACCTAACCACTTCTGAGGGATATAGAGGGTAGGATAGACACAGAGATAAGTGAGCAGACATGGGCGAGGGGGACAGATGCTATCTGATGACAGGCAGATGAATCTACAAGCCCAGGAACTCCAAAGATTGTCTGCTACTAGAAGCTGAAATAGACAAGAAAGGACCTCTCCCTAGAGCCACACCCTGAATTCCAACTTCCAGCCTCCAGAATTGTGAGAAAATACATTTCTATTCTTTAAAACCACCCGCTTGTGGTATTTCTGTTACAGCAGCACTCAGAAGCTAAGACAGCTTCTCATACTTCCCTGAGCTTGTGGGCAGAGTTTTCTCATCCCCTTCTAAGGAAGGGACATCTCTTTGATGCTCCAACTTTTCTGCTGGGCCTAGATAAAAATTTTCTCTCCTCCAGGCCTGAGGCCACATCTCCTGTTCCCTCACAGGTGTTATGTTCCAGTCCCAGGCCCTAGAGCCTAAATCTGTCTCCTCTAAAACCTCCATGGCTCCTGGCTTCCAGCTCACGCTTACTACTTTGGCTGTGGTTTCTCCCTTCATTTTTGCCACTTGAGGATTTTCTTTTCACTTGTTCAAAGACAGCAATACATTAAGAAAAAAAAAAAAAAAGTTTTTTAAATTATAGTTTATCCAACATTTTCATGACTTTGTAATGGAAAAGGGTCCATCTTCCATGTTGCTAGAAGTCCTGAACTCATTTTTATATGTGGCAGGGAGTCTTCCCAAGGTGCTGGCAGGAGTGTGGTATGGTTAGATTTGTACTTAGGAAGATAACCTGGTCAGCAGTGTTGGGTGAAGGGAGGATCCTGAAGCCAGGGAGACAGACTAGAGGAGTGTCTTAATTTGCCTCCTACTCCCCCCATTGGTGAAGGAGGATCGCCACCCTAAATAATATGAGATGGCAAAACACATGACAGCCGACACTGAGCAGATGAGATTGGCAACAGTTTATTAGTCACATGTACTCACAGACTGGGGGAGGAGGATATTGAACACCATGCAGGGTCACATGGGGGTTGCACTTGGGAATACAGGGAATCAGCAGGAGCTGCGGAAGGCAGGCTTTATAGTAACAAGAGGGTGAGGTGCCCCCTGGTTCCCATAAGAGGATGTGATTGGCTTGTTTGAATGAATCCATGGGCTGTCAAGGAAGTGAGATCTGTTAGGCTGAGGACCAGATGGAGTGCAGCTGGTCTGGCTGAGAGGGAAACTAGCTGGGTGGAGATCCTTCCCTGCTGGGTGAGGGGCAAATTTGTCAAGAGCAGGGGAACTCTCGGTTAGGCCTTGGGGGCCCTGTGAGGCTCAAAAATCTCAAGGCAGCACCTGAAATTTTAGGTTGTAAATACAAGGAGGACCAGGGGTCGTCTGACCCAAAGTACACTTTGTTGACACCATTCGTCTGAATGGACATTCTGTCACTGTAGCTGCTGCATCACACTTTTGACACCTGCCCCCTTATTCCCCTGACTGTCTCTCTGCTTCAGCTAAGCTAGCCTCCTCTTTGACACCAGAATGTACCATGCTCATTCCCAGCTCCAAGTGTGTGCTCTCTGCCAGACTAGACAGAATGGAGAAGAGGTCCAAGAGGTAACTCTGTGTGCCTAAAGACCATAGCCCTTCAGGCAAGCGTGCTCAGTTTTAATAATCCCCAGGTAGATTTTTCCATCATCCCCCTCAGATAAGATATGGGAAAAAGGACAAAAAAAAAAAAATTATCATACTAATCATGCTCAGTCACTATTAACTATAATAACTTCCTGCTAGTCAATCTTTTGCTTGGAGAGAATGAATGTAAAATCACATAGAATTACCCAGCAGGTGAGTTCAAGGAGTGCTACTTATACAATTATTTGATGGAAGGTGGAGTTTGAGAGCCTCAGAGTCCAGGTGTGCTCTGCCAGCCTTCCATCTCATTGGCTTCTGAAACATTTGCCTAAAATAAGCACGGGAATTCCACATGGTACAAGGCCTCGTGGTATCTTCCTGGGATTTCTGATGCCCCTCCCTGCTTGCGTGCTGGTGGATCAAGCTTCCATACCAGGTGGGCAGTCCTTGTATTTACAGTAATGCCACAGTGGTCCTACAGAGTCACACAACTTTAGGGAAGCCTCATAACACCCTTGCCGTTCGTTAGACTTAGAATGTTTACCTTTCCACACCTCCTGTTTGAATTCTGCCCGCTATTTAAGGACCCTGACATCCTGCCCCTCCAGGAAGCTCTGCCAGCACACTCCATGCATGTTCATCCCCCTCTGGAACTCCCGTAGTGCTGACCGCTCCTTTGTTAGTGCCCAGTGTCATTCTGGCTTCATGTGGGGCTGTTTCACAAGTTGATATGTGGGCTCCCCAGCCATGCTGTGAATTCCTGGAGATGAGGAAGCAGGCCTTACATCCTTCCGACCCTCTTCAAAGCCTGGAGCAATATTAGATACTGAGTGTAGCTCATTAAATATCTAAGTGAATAATGAATAATTGATTAAAACCAGGGAACTAGGTGTCATGGCGGGAAGTCCCCAGGTCCTCTGTATTGTACAGAATAAAATCCAAAATTGAGAACACTAAAAGGTCCATTGGCTCAAGAGTTAAATAACAATACAAATCTATACTTCAGGGGTGCTCTTTAGTTAAAAAAAAAAAAAAAAAAGACATACATACTCTTTCTAGTGCATGTAACACTCAGAACTACCTGAACTTTGAGTCTAGGTGGGAGAGAGGGTGGTAAGCACGCGGGCCTTTAGCCAGACCGGAAGTAGAACAGGAATGATGAGATTGTTCAGTAGGTGCCTCTTGCCCCGCGCCTCGGTCACGGTGAGAGAGTGCCCGAGCGGCAGGTGATGCTAACCTTCCACTCCTGCCTCTGGAGCCCCGGGGACCCTAGTTCTGTGAGCTTCTGGTTGCACCCATGATTAGCAAAACAACATGGATAAAGTAAAGGGTAATCAACCTGAAGAAATCCTACTGAACAAAGAAATCTCGAGAAGGCTTTGGAGGGCACTTAAGAAGGAATGATACACATGAGTTCAGTATGACCCGGGCCCTCCCCGCCCGCAAGATTACGAAAACCGGTGACCGCAGCTGAAATCACTGAGAAAAGTATTTCTCAGCGCAGTCAAGTGTGACTGCACTCCCTTCCCACACAGCCCCTGAGAGCAGCAGCTCAGGAAAAAC